ATAGAAAGTACGGTTGTAGGCTACAAAATCAACGTGTTTTTACCTGCGCGGCCAATCGCAGTCAGTGCCGGTAAAGATATTTTGACCTTTAGCGCTGAAAAAAGTTGGGGAGTACTTTTCTACGCCAAAATTCACCAATTGCAGTCTTTTTTTCTGCTCAATAACAAAGGTAGGTTCATTAACTGAAGGTGGGTAAAGTGATTGTGGGCCAAATTGAGAACTATCAAACCCGCCAGCGCTCCCAAGTTAATGGGGACCTTATAAGATCCAACGACTGCAACGGCAACTGGAAAACCGTATAAAAAGGAATCGGTTTAATCGAGCAAAACAACAATTTTGCACGTACAGCATACTTTTTTGGTACATTTCTTTGCCATCACTAAATGACTACTAAGAATACGGCGTGAATAATACCGATTGGGGAATTCAAGTCAGTTCATAAAGGTCTTGATCAAATAAGCGACGACGAAATTTTCTTTACATTTCTGAACTTGGATATGGTTAGAAAAGTTCGCTTGCCTTTGAAAAGTTAATTGGGTAGTAATCAAAGAATGCTAACTCACCTTTTAAGCCACATTTTCGCCGCCGTCGCCGCACGGCACAGATCTTAATGTCCCTTTTGGTTTTCAACCGAGCGGAGACAGAAAATACATTCATTATCTTTTTTTGTTCACGCAGACAACCATGAGAGGAAAGACAATGTGGAAATTTCTTCTGCTGATGATGCTTCTTGACCTGCTTTTTCATACTGCGGAACCTCTTATTAAAATTAAGAGAAGACGAAGAAGCCGGAGAAGACGAAGAAGCTGGGGATTTGGTCGTGACACCCCAGCTGAACATGAACATGGCGGCAAGATGAGTGAGTATTTAAAGTCGCTGTTCAATCATGACGGTTCATTTGTAATCTCAAGGCGGTTTAACGATCAAAATAAGAAAAAAAAACCTACAATATATTGAGCGAGCTTATTTTTCTACATTATATAACAATTATATTTTTCCCAACAACAGGGCTTCAGTTTGTTCCAGTCTCATTTTTACTCCCTGTTTTCAAAGAATTCCTGAATTACGCCAATTAACATGATTCATTTGGTTAATCTGATATTCAAAACATCATTTACTAAGCTAGGGGCTTAAATAAGGAATTATTTCTTAGACTAATTTTTATTGTTTTATATTTTAAGGTGATCAAACAGAGTGGAATCAAGTGGAGAAATTGTCTGTTGAACAAGATTGAAGTTCGAGAAACAAGCAAACTGTTTTGGGAAAGGAAAATAAATGAATAAAATGAAAGTAATCAGGTTGAGGTTCATTGTAAATTACCGCGGATCGTAAAAATATTAAATCTGGCAATTGATTAGGCCACCCTAATAAGCATTTTGACGCCTCGGAATCGAAATGTGCCATGAGATTTAAGTTTGATCGCAGGCACCCTTCACTACCGGTATTCCAAGACAACTTAATTTACAATTGATACACGATCTAATTCCATTACATTTGTTTTACAAGTGTTAAAGCGAAAGAAATTTGCGTTTACGACGTATATTTAAAACACTGATAAGATTCTGTTGTTTCTTCATACAATACACTACAAAATTAAGCTTATGAATTCTTAAAAGGGAACATAGTAAAGTTTGAAGGTTTTAATTATCGTGAAAAATGCGATGAGAAAATTAGCCCAAAATTTATGATTTCCTCATTGGTTCGATTCTCAATAAACAACTTGTTCATTATTTGCCCGTCAATCGCTGTCCTAGTACGTACGCCATATATCCGGAACGTAACGCTAGCAAAAAAAAAAATACTAATGAAAAATTACATCTTCCTCTCCAACAAAGATGCCTTCTAAGCGTTATATCAAATGTTAAATAGAACGAAAGAGAATCTTGAAAAACTGTTAGGCTAACAAATTTTCAAAACCCACAATTGCAATCCGTTTTAACCTTCTTCAACTTTATTCATGCATCCGTGCCTTTAATTTTGTACTTGCCTTGTTATATAGGCGCTCTCTGCTGTTTTTAGCGGCTATTTTCTGTTTCACTCAATTTGGTGGCAGCCCCTTTAATTTTCCCTTATATAGTCCAAATTAAGGCACAATTTTTCTTGGTTAAATGAATGACGACGGAGCGGCGCGGTGGCCAGCAAGGCGGATAAAGGTTGGGCGGTGAAACGAGCGCTCCGCTCTTCATTTAATGTATGATGCGAAGTAGGACTGGCACAAGCGCTCTTTCCGCGCTTCTGGTGCGCTTCAATGCCTGCGAAATTTTCCTTTTTGCAAACCGGAAATCCTATTTTCTTTCTGTAATTTCATGCTACAATGTTAAATAGATAAATTCGTTTCATAACAATATCAATAAACAGTTTCATATGTTTGTGTCTTTACGTCTATAAGTCAAACTTGTTGGTCGTATAATGCCAAAATTTGAGTTTAATTTGGAAGTGTTGAATACCTCCTCCTTCCACTTATCACCTAATCGTCTTTCGCCGTTTCGTTTGCAAAAGCTTAACACTTCTTAACCTCAATTTCTACAATTGTTAAAGGAGGATAAATTTTATATAACATAACAAAAAATTAGTTTGATATATATTTATATAGTGGCGTTGTACTTCTTCAAACTTTGCTTCTCTGGTGCAACGCGCCATGGCGATTCGCACAATGCATTGTAAATCCGGAAACCGAATGTAAACAAAATTTATTGAAGTTAGTTGTAAGGTTTTTTCTCCGTTTTTCTCTCTAGAACAAAACAAGGTAAACAGAAAAAACTGAGGGAAAACTAATTTTGAAGTTTCGAAAAAACAGAAAGACGTCTGAGATGTTTTCGAGGATGATGGTGATTGAAATTAGCATAATTTTACCTTGCACGAGCTGCACTCATTTATAAAATACACGTCATCTAGTTATGAAACACGATCTGCTGTCTTTTAGTTTTGCCATGGATGACATGGATGAGATTTTCCGTCGTGTTTTAGACAGTACTTAGTTGTTTTTGTTTTGGAATAACATCGACATTGGCGAGTAGCAGAACGAAAATATAATTCAGTGGTAGAGTCATGGAAGTAATAAGAGACACCCTTTGAAAGAGATGTTTGTCTACTCCAACTAAACCGCCCGCAAAAAATAGCAACATTTGCCTCTCGGAGACAGCGTACCAGCACAAAGGAACGAGGAAGAAGTGCAAGAAAACAATTCAAGCCACCATAATTCAGTGACAGCGGCAGTGTCTAATGTACAAACCACATCATATCGCAAGCCCTGACCGAAGTCGAAAACAAGCGACATTTCTAAGCAGAGTCCCAGTCCACTGCATCACACCTTTTTGTTCGGACGCGCTCGTTTCACCGGCCAACCTTTATCCGCCCTGGTGGCCAGAGTTGAATGACTCCTCCAATTAAAATATTTTCAGGGTATCTTTAAGTCGAACCCTTTCACACATTATGTGAAATTTTCACTCCAACTTTTACATTCTGTGACCGAAATCCTATTTTGTTATCATTTAAATAAAACTCTTTGAAAGGACTCCGGCGTAGTACCAGTTATTTCTTAGGATCCAGAGCTGGGAGGGTAACAAAATTTGAATTCTTAAGAGAATTTCAGAGACGAAAAGGTTTAAAATCACCTTTCCTTTAAAATCTGAATGCCTTTAATAGCCTAGCCCGTGAGACCAGATGGATTCTGTTTCATAAGCCGAGAAAACTGTGAAGTGAAAATAATCAAAAAATGTTAAGGCCATACTCTCTTAGGCTATTCAGAATACCCTACAGTCTCAAAGACTCATCTCTTTTGCTAGATATGATAGATTATATCTATATTATATCTATTCTTTCATGCGGAAACTAACCCGGAAGCAGCTAACTCAAAGTCGTGCCATTTTAATTACGATTATTTGGACCACTCTTTCTAAGGCTTGCATGATTTCGAACTGACAACGGTAGCGATTTTATGCCGTACTGTGTTGTTGCAAAAATCGTCGTTGTTTCAAACCAAATTTTGATGCGATTTCTAATTTGGCGGATACTTTTTACATCAAATGACAGGATGCCCTAGGTGAACCTTTCCATAAAGGGAAGAGAGATCGACTAGGCCACAGATTATTTTTTTCTTGATAAAGCTTAGAATACAGACATAGTGGCAACTCACGGAAAAAACAAAAAGTTAGAATTGCCCTTTACGTCTCTCGGATAACACGAATGTTTTAGACAAGGATCAAGTAAGTGTCAGATAAATAAACACTGAGCCAGCAAGGAAGTAAATAATAGACTCGGCGAGTAAAAGAAGGAAGGCAAACAGAAGAGAAGACTTCCCATTTGCGGTATCGCTGTAACAAACGTGTCTTCAACTTGTTTCTGTTAATAGTAAATAATGAAACAATAGGCCGAGCGGAAATATTGTGATTTATATCATAGAATGAAGGCAATAAATACAGATCAATGTGCACTCTGTTTCACAACCAACTGGAGTAGCTGATCGAGATTCCTTGATCAAGATATTTTTGGCCGGTTCTTCCTGTTCAGCTCAATTACTATAAGAGGCGAGTACCTGACTTGATTTACTTTCAAATTCATGTTTTGTCTAACTGGATATATCAGTGACTAAAAGCTGGTTAGTTAAAATTTTCTCGTGATATTACAATTAACAAATATTTATATTGTCTATCTTTGTATTACGAAGTTCATTCATCCAAGTCATTTTGTCCGTGTGATACTAAGGGAAATCGTAAAATTGTTAGGGACTGGACCATTAGAATTATTATGAGGTGGGAGTGGGAGTTTTCGAGGTGCATGAATTTTTTTCGTTAATATTTCCCTTGCATGAATTTTTTTAGGCCAGCGCAGGAATATTTTTTAGCGCTACTCGGCGTGCATGATTTTTTTTTATTTTCATAAGATTTTTCCTTGCCAGAACATCCCTTAATTGGAGTTAAACTCTATTAGGAAACTAAACGGTGATTGTCTTTTTTTCCGCTTTAGCTCATTCTCTCTTAATTGTCAGTTTAGAGACGACCATGGATGGAAACAAAATGGCGAAATTTCTGTTGTTGCTGATAGCTGTTGACTTGCTGTTGTTTTCGTCGACTGAGGGTAAACCATGGTGGGGACGTCGACGTCGTAGGAACTGCTCTTCTTCCAGGCCAGGAGGAGTCGCATGGGTGAACCAGTGGCAACAACCTTTCTCCTTCAGTTGCAAAACCAGTAAGCCAGTTGCTAAACATATATATTTATATAGAATCACTAAACGATAATCCTTTCTTTTACGCCGCTTTCCGGTAAAGATGCAACTCACTCGCTCCCCGCCCTGCATGTAATAAACATACCCGAAGCATTTGTTACAATTTTTAAGCCAGATTCCTTTGTATATACAGTCTTTATTTATGTATTGGAGATTATTTTTCTCCTTCTTTTTCTTTACCCCGACAGACAGGTACGTTTAGAAGCGAACCTATGATTCTCTCAGGCTCGGACAAAGTGATGGATAAATATTTCAATATTCCTTAGTTTATTTTTTTGCAATCCTGCACTCATTTGCTCTCTGATACACACTAATTATGAAGACGAATGCTCATAAAAGTAAAATAAATGGGATAGAAAGAATAGGATGACAAATTGTCCCGTACAATTTCGAAACATGTTTCCAACTGCTTTTTATTGGGTCATTCCGTTTCTTGTTTGTGTAATTTTTAGGCTATTATTTGAGTTTATGGCGCAGCGAGCATCGCAACTGCAAAGAAGACCGCATCCATTACTTCCAGTGTGGGTATGGTCCAGCGCCATACAGTGCGAACAACTGCTTTTGGACATACACTGCGAATAACTTTGACGGGCCAGTGAACTTCAAATGCCCCTGCAATGGCTTCATTACTGGAGTGGCAAGTGATCATTACAGCGGCCATCACAAAGACCGCACGTAAACAACATTCTACTACTACAATCCTAAGCTTTATCAGAGGGAAATCGTTACGTCACGTTGCTATGGTAGCAAAGAATTCTGGATCTCAACAAAACCGTGGTCTTGCAAATATGGCAGAACAAAACGAAAAAATTGGCATGACTTGTGTGAGTTTCCTATGCATGATTTTGTCACTCAGGATCAAAACAATAGCCCATGCTTTTCTTTCATCGTTTGACAATGCAAATGGCTTTCTTTGCAAACAAAGATTATTGAGATCCAGAAATTTTGCTACCATGGTAACATGACGTCACACTTCTCCACTCTAGAATTATCTTCCTTATAAGTGTTAAATGCACGGTCCAGGAATTTTCAAAATGCAAAGATTTCATTTTATCAACACAGTTCATAAAACCAACTCTTTGCATTTCACTCCCTCACCGACGCAGCACCACAGCTTCATTAGAAACTAACCCTTTATTTATCGGTCCAGAGACAAAAACTATTCACCTTTCTCAGTTCTCCTCTGAAGATGAGAGGTGGTTAAAATTGTCATCACAGTTTAGTAGTTTTGTTTCGTGGTAAAGGCATTTAAGACTAATACATTGCATGTACAACCCGAAAGTAAGATCCATTAAATAACCCAAGGCGGACCTGATAATAGCTTCCGCAGATAAGGTCACTATCAGTTGTTCAGTTCATTTTTTTCTTTCTGTGTTTCCAATGACAGGTTTCGGTTCCGCTGCTGTTATATAAACGGATATTTAAAACAAAGTTGCCGTCACACTCTATATCAGAACAACTGGGACCACGAATTGATGTACTATGTTCCCCGTGGATACTATCTAACTGGAGTGGAGAGTTATCACAATAACCACCGCGAGTAAGTGTTGAGATAACTTGCTTAGTCCCAGGAAGCTAAAGGTGCACAGAATTAAGAAAAACCTCTTCTTCAACTACGCCGGGGTTCCAACATATTACAAGCTCCAATGCCACATCACGTACCAGGGAAACTGCTGCATTGTGCGATGAATATGTAGAAAGAGAAGCTGAAGTTCAGCATGGTTTTCAAAGGATCCTTATCTTTGCAAATAGGAAAGACAACCTCAAATGTTAGTTTAATTAGTATAAACGACACCAAAGGGGAAGAAACTAAACTTTCTTCGTGTTTGCATAGCCTGAAATAAGCACGAGAGATCGAATGTTGCTTATTCTTACTAAAAATGTCGACTTAAGCTATAAACTAAAAGTTGTTTGGCCAAGATTTTAAAAGCTTCAACCGTCGAAGAAATGGGTAAATAAGGTCACAACGTGTAGATCTTTAAGTTAAAAACGTTTTTCATAATCGTGGCTTAACGTGTGCACAGTGTTTACATACTCTCGCGCAAACACTACCCTCGGCCAAACAAGGCGGCCAACCAAAGAAAGCCACGACACATTGATAGTTCCTTTAAGTTCACCACCACGTCAAATTTTCCACAATTGAAAATTAATTGCTCGTGAGTGCCCCATTTTACATTTTTATGTTAATTTTTTCTATTCAGGGATCGCCGCTGGAAGTTTGAGATTTGCAAAATCACTAAACGCGTTGGAAAATGAAGACGACTTTCAAGGGAGCAAGCAAGTCTCAGCAAAGAGAAAATTTAAGATTAAACGCTCAAATTCATGTTTTGTCTAACTGGATATATCAGTGACTAAAAGCTGGTTAGTTAAAATTTTCTCGTGATATTACAATTAACAAATATTTATATTGTCTATCTTTGTATTACGAAGTTCATTCATCCAAGTCCTTTTTTCCGAGTGATACTAAGGGAAATCGTAAAATCGTTAGGGACTGGACCATTAGAATTATTATGAGGTGGGAGTGGGAGTTTTCGAGGTGCATGAATTTTTTTCGTTAATATTTCCCTTGCATGAATTTTAAGGCTAGAGCAGGAATATTTTTTAGGGCTACTCGGCGTGCATGATTTTTTTATTTTCATAAGATTTTCCCTTGCCAGAACATCCCTTAATTGGAGTTAAACTCTATTAGGAAACTAAACGGTGATTGTCTTTTTTCTTTAGCTTATTCTCTCTCGTCAGTTTAGAGACGACCATGGATGGAAACAAAATGGCGAAATTTCTGTTGTTGCTGATAGCTGTTGACCTGCTGTTGTTTTCGTCGACTGAGGGTAAACCATGGTGGAAACGTCGACGTTCAAGTCGTAGGCGCTGCTCTTCTTCCAGGCCAGGAGGAGTCGCTTGGGTGAACCAGTGGCAACAACCTTTCTCCTACTATTGCAGTAGCAGTAAGCCAGTTGCTGTACATATAAACTGAGAGAGAGAGAGAGAATCATTAAATGATTATCCTTTCTTTGACGCTGCTTGCCTGTAAAGATCCAACTCACTCGCTTCCCCTGTATGTAATACACATACCCCGAAGCATTTGCTGCAACTTTTCAACTAGATTCCTGTGTATATACAGTCTTCATCTGTGGATTGGAATATTATTTTTCTCTTTCTTTTCCTTTCTCCCGACAGACAGATTCGTTTGTTAAGCGAACCTATGATTCTCTCAAGCTCGGACAAAGTGATGGATAAATATTTCAATATTCCTTTATTTTTTTTGCAATCTCGCATTCATTAGCTAACTGACTAACACACTAATTATGTAGACGCATGCTCTTAAAAGTAAAATAGATGGAATAGAAAGAATAGGATGACAAATTGTCCAGTACAATTGAACAAGTTTTTAACTGCTTTTTATTGGCTTGTTCCATTTCTTGTTTGTGTAATGTTTAGGCTATTTTTTGAACTTTTGGCAAAGTCAGCATCGCAACTGCAAAGAAGACCGCATCCATTACTTCCGATGTGGGTATGGTCCAGCGCCATACAGTGCGAGCAACTGCTTTTGGACATACACTGTAAATAGCTTTGACGGGCCAGTGAACTTCAAATGCCCCTACAATGGCTTCATTACTGGAGTGGCAAGTGATTCTTACAGCGGCCATCACAAAGACCGCACGTAAACATCATTCCACTACTAAAATCCTACGCTTTATCAGAGGGAAGTCGTTACGTCATTTTGCCATGTTAGCAAAGAATTCTGGATCTCAGCAAAACCGTGGTCTTGCAAATATGGCAGAACAAAACGAAAAAAAAGATTGACATGACTTGTGTGAGTTTCCCGTGCATGATTTTGTCACTCAGGATCAAAACGGTAGCCCCCTTTTCTTTCATCTTTCATCGTTTGACAATGTAAATGGCTTTCTTTGAAAAGAAAGATTGAGATCCAGAAATTTTCCTACCATGGTAACGTGACGTCACACTTCTACTTTCAGCTTACAAGTGTTAAATGCACAGTCCAGGAAAATGCAAAGATTTAATTTTATCAACACAGTTGATAAAACCAACTCTTTGTCTGTCTTTCACTCCCTCACCGACGTAGCACCACAGCTTCATTAGAAACTAACCCTTTATTCATCGGTCCAGAGACAAAAGCCATTCACCTTTCTCAGTTCTCCTCTGAAGATGAGAGGTGGTTAAAATTGTCATCACAGTTAAGTTGTTTTGTTTCGTGGTAAAAGCATTTACACTAATACACTGCATGTACAACCCGAAAGTAAGAGCCATTAAGTAACCCAAGGCGGACCTAATAATAGCTTCTGCAAACAATGTCACTATCAGTTGTTCAGTTCATTTTTTTTCTTTCTGGGTTTCCAACGACAGGTTTCGGTTCCGCTGCTGTGATATAAAGGGATATTTAAAGCACAGTTGCCATCACACTCTATATCAGAACAACTGGGACCAGGAATTGAAGTACTCTGTTCCCTATGGATTCTATCTGTCTGGAGTGGAGAGTTATCACGATAACCATCGCGAGTAAGTGTTGAGATAACTTGCATAGTCCCTGGAAGCTAAAGGTGCACAGAATTAAAAAAAAAACCTCTTCTGCAACTACGCCGGGCTCCCACATATTTGTACAAGCTCCAACGCCGCATCACGCGTACCAGGGAAACTGCTGAATTGTGGGATGAATATGTTGAAAGAGAAGCTGAACTTCAGCATGGTTTTTAAAGGATCTTTATCTTTGCAAATACGAAAGACAACCTCAAAATGTTAGTTTAATTAGTATAAACGACGTCAAAGGGGAAGAAACAGAATTTTCTTCGGGTTTGCATAGCCTGAGATACGCACGACAGAGTGTTACTTATTCTTACTAAAAATGTCGACTTAAGCCATAAACTAAAAGCTGTTTGGCGAAGATTTTAAAAGCTTCAACCGTCGAAGAAATGGGTAAATAAGGCCACAACGTGTAGATCTTTAAGTTAAAAACGTTTTTCATAATCGTGGCTTAACGTGTGCACAGTGTTTACATTCTCTCACGCATTCTCTCTCACCAAAAAGGCGGCCAATCAAAGAAAGCCACGACACACTGACAGTTCCTTTAGTTCACCACCACGTCAAATGTTCCACAATTGAAAGTTAATTGCTCGTGAGTGCCCCATTTTACATTTTCATATTAATTTTTTCTATTCAGGGATCGCCGCTGGAAGTTTGAGATTTGCAAAATCACTAAAAGCGTTGGAAAATGAAGACTACTTTCAAGGGAGCAAGCAAGTCTCAGCAAAGAGAAAATTTAAGACTAAACGCTTAGTTAAACTACCTGGGGAAGGTTAAGGTTTAAGGTTAAGGAAAGCTCTCACATTTTTTTTATTTAACTGAAAATATGTCTGTATGGAGATGGATGGGATAATAAATAATTAAAAAGCACTATTGTTGTTATGTTAATGCCTCACTTTCAAATTTGTTGAATAAATTCGAATCAGCCTTTTTCATCAGCTTAGCTCAAAACAGAGAGACGAGAAAGAGCAAAAAGTACTTCAATCTTTTTTTTGGTAGTGAAATGTAAGAAGACAGTATGAAAAAAAAGCGGGGTGGTTGCAGCTTGTATTAATTTGGCTGCGGGTTGAGTGATATATGAGAACTGGAACATGTCTTACACAATAAAGTTTTTGTCTAGCAAACACAAGTTTATGAGCAAAGGATCAGGAAGTATATATTTTTGATGACCCGCCTACATTTCGTAATTGTGGAAATTAGAGCCAATTCTTCCTGAGTCACACACATTGATACAAAAAAGAAAACAAACAACAACAAAAACGAGTTCAAAGAACAGTTGTGCTTTCTTATCCGACTTTGAACGTGAGTGAACTCTGAATCGAATTGATCGTGAGTAGCTTTGAGTTAATGACACATGTGAAGGTCACATCAACTGAAAACAAGCAAGTGCAAGCAAGAAAGATGGTCTGTTAAAAATTCATCCACAAAAACTTTTAACTTAGGGCCTGTTTACATGGAGTGGGGTACCCCAGTCTAGTGGGGTTGGTTTCTTTTGTTTTCACGCTCTGGAGGACACAAAACAAAAGAAACCTACCCCACTAGACCAGGGTCCCCCACTCCATGTAAACAGGGTCTTATGATGCCATCCAACCCCCTCCTCCTTCCGATCCGTTCCCTTGGGGTTAGCACCTGATGTACGTTTTAGATATATCACAAAAGCTTCGCAGTAACTTCCACTTTGAAGGGCAGACTACAAAAAAATTGATCGGCAAAGCTACGCTGAAGTTACAATCTTGTGAAGCCATATTGATTGACGCTAGACTTCGAGGAAGTCTATCTTTTTCTTCCGATTTAGCGAGGTGAGTGCATGCGCACGTGAGTGTCCAGCGGCGAAGTGACAAGGCGCAAGACGCCAGAATCGAGGGCTGCAGACTGCTCGTAGTCCTTTGACGCAGTGGGTCAATTAGGATTACTCAAGAAATCACAGTATACTTTGTTAAATGACAGAAATATGATTGAGCCTTATTTGCTTCTTGACCAAAGGATACTTTGGTTATCATCTTTCAATAACGCACGTAAGAGACAAAACTCAGCAGTCATAAAAATTCCTTTTTAAGACGCTGCTTTCAAATGTACTGCTTTTTGTTAAGCACACTTTGTAGCCATCAAAGAGGGATAAACTGAATAATTTCTTACGTTTCAAACTAGACCATCTTAAAAGATATACCCTTGTTTTCTCCGGCAACTTCCGCTAGTTTCTGAGTAAGTGCGATTCCAGTTGTGCTCCTTTTAAGAACCAGCCTTCAGTTTGGAGGCAAGTAAAAGCTGCTTGTTAATGTTTATAATGCCGTGATTGCCGCCTTTTCGCCCCAAGACAGTCTTGGATTCTGGATTCCATGCTGGATTCCTGATGCCTTGTCAGTGGAACTTGGATTTTGGATTCCAATCGTTATTGGGATTCCGGATCAGTCCATGTGCTGAATTACGGATTCCAAAGCCAAGGATTCCAGATTCCACAAGCAAACATTTCCGGGATTCCACATTCCACAAGGCAAAAATTTCCCACCTTTCGGAATCCGGATTTATCTCTGAGGAAAACTATGAAGGCTAGAAATAGAAACCCTTGCGGACGTACGCGTTAGAGTGAAAGAACGAGGCTAGGGGAGGAGTGGTAAGGGCTCCTTCCCAATATGTAACAAAAGATAACAGTGTATCATAAAGTGAAAAGTTTAAGCAATGCTTTTACTTCGTATTCACTAATAACGCGATGAAAAATGGCCTGACTTTGAACAATTCTATGATACCAGAATTTAATAAGATAATCTTTGGATTAATGATGAATGTTGTGATATTTCTAAATTCTCAAGACGCAAAAGCTGTCTAGTCTCCAACCGTATTTGGATATCTTTGTGCTATAGTTTGTTTTGGTCTTTCTTGACAGTCCAATTGTTATGCAAAGTTGTACTACTCAATTGTGCTTCGTGTATTTTGGCACTTGAGGCACTTGAGCTTTTAATTTCTTTTTTTTTCTGGTTGGCTACTTTTAAAAAAGGAAATCTGTATTTGCAATTATTTAGTGCAAATTAAACAAAGTACCTTCCTGGTTTTTCAACGACCTTGGCTGGTACGGTGTTCTTCCAAATCTTAATTTCTTAAAAACGCGATAATTTTAGATGACAGTATCGAGCCATTATTTGGTTAAAATTTTGTCGTCTGTCATTGATTTAAATACGCCATAAGGTTTTTTGAAAAGGCTACGCTGGCTATGGTCGCATATGAACACAATTATTGCTGCAGGCTCAATGCTCAAAGTTGAAGTCTGCTATGGTGCTGCCTAATTGAATAAAAGAACTCACGAGCATTTCTTTTCTTGCCCTTTTTATTACTATTCTTATCAATTTTCGGCCTTCTTTCTAATTATTTTCACGAAAATGCGGGAGCCAGGTTGGTATTTCGCGAGTAAAAATGTTTTTGAACCTTTTGAGAAGGTAAAGAACCAATGAGAGCGAATTAAATTTATTCTGCGATTTTCGTATTTCTCCATTTTGACACAGTCAGCTTAGCCACTTAATTACCAAAAATTAAGATCAGTCCATAAATTAAAGTTCAGAGGTAACAAAAATTAGTCTTCATTAACGACTCGCTATCGCCTTCATTGAAGCAGAACAATATATATCAATCGTTGAATTTTATCAAGAATATAATCAACTCCTCGCTCCTTTTGTTTTTCGTTATTAATATTTTAGGAGGACAACTTAACAAATTAGGCCGTTTTAAAAATAACTTCTGCAATCACTCAAATAGTTCGAACGAACTCATAAATTGGTAATGGAATTGCGAAAAACGAGTTGGCAACGTGACATAATACAACAAGTCCATATATTTAGTGACCACTTAGTGAACTATGAGAACGTTGATGTAATTTGTAGTTGGTGTAGTTAATGTAGTTGGTGTAGTTGGTGTAGTTGCTGTAGTTAGTGTAGTTGGTGAAGTTGCTGTCGTTGGTGTAGTTAGCATAGTTGCTGTAGTTGCTGTAGTTGATGTAGTTGCTGTAGTTGGTGTAGTAGCTGTAGTTGCTGTAGTTGCTGTAGTTGCTGTAGTAGCTGTAGTTGGTGTAGCAGCTGTAGTTAGTGTAGTTAGTGTAGTTGGTGTAGTAGCTGTAGTTGGTGTAGTTGATGTAGTTGCTGTAGTTGGTGTAGTTAGTGTGGTTGCTGTAGTTGGTGTGGTAGCTGTAGTTAATGTAGTAGCTGTAGTTGGTGTAGTTGGTGTAGTTAGTGTAGTTGCTGTAGTTGGTGTAGTTGGTGTAGTTGGTGTAGTTGCTGTAGTTGCTGTAGCTGGTGTAGTTGCTGTAGTTGGTGTAGTTGGTGTAGTTGCTGTAACTGGTGTAGTTAATGTAGTTGGTGTAGTTAATGTAGTTGGTGTAGTTGCTGTAGTTGGTGTAGCTGCTGTAGTTGGTGTAGTTGGTGTAGTTGCTGTAGTTGGTGTAGTAGCTGTAGTTTCTGTAGTTGCTGTAGTTAGTGTAGTTGGTGTAGTTAGTGTAGTTGCTGTAGTTGGGGTAGTTGGTGTAGTTAATGTAGTTGGTGTAGTTGGTGTAGTTGCTGTAGTTAGTGTAGTTGGTGTAGTTGCTGTCGTTGGTGTAGTT